CATAAAAGCCTCCAGCGATGACAGAGCTGACGGGAGCCGCTGGCCCTGCTCTCGGGATCCTTCAAAAGCATCGCAGAGATTTATTCTCCTCAAGCTCACAATGGCTTAGGAGACAATCGCTACTTAGTCTCCCTTTCAGTCTCCACTTCTGCAAGTGAAATTAGAAACTGGAAACAGAAGCCGGGCCCAGAAGTTATAAAACACCCATCAATGAAAAAAAAATGCTCTCTGAGAGAAACCATGCTTAATTTCATGAACTGTGTACCCTCTCCCTGCCACATAAAATAAAGAGAAAAACTGAAGTTATCCATGTGGCTATCTATGAGGCCAAACAGGTGTAGCTGTCTCCAGGGACTGTCAAAACCGAAACACCCCAAGCATCGCGTCACAGACGCTGGCGCGGTGGGAGGGGCCTTGTCGAGGCCCACACTGCAGAGCTGCCGGCCTTCCACACAGAGCACCTGCCACAGAGGCTGCTCATTCGCTGTGAGCCTGGACTGTGAGGAATGTGGGAACACAGCAGAGACAAGCACGTGCACTGCCCCGCACGCCCAGGCCCGGGAGGGAGGGTGTCGCAGGCAGCGGCAAGGGCTCCGACTGCTGCCTTCAGTTTTTCTCTTTATTTTATGTGGCAGGGAGAGGGTACACAGTTCACTGCCGGGGTGCCGCTGTACATAGGGCGGGCAGGGAAGGCCTGCCGGTGAGCTGCTACTGTGGATGGGGGAGAATCCCTTTATTCCACTTTCTCAACCGAAAAGTTGAAGTGTGAGAGAGAGAAGCGTTCTGCAAACAGTCTATTAGCGAAGGGACGGTCTCTCCTGAGGGGGCCGGTGAGGGCGCTGGCTTCTTTTCCCATTTGAGGGAAACAAACAGGAAATCCCACCGTGTCTACCTTTAAGTCGCAGACAGCTGCTCCATCTTTCCTTGGTTTTCAAGATCTTCAGGTATTTTGTCAAATGATCTTCGTCTTGGGTTTCCTGATTTTTTTTTTTTAAAGATTCATCTGGAATTACAGATTCTAGGAAAGAGTTCCTCACGAGCCCTCTGGCCCTCCACCTGTACAGGACACTGTGCTGTCAACGTGAATCAGCACTGGTGATGCGCACTCTGGAGACTGGATTAAGGTGGGCACCTGCCAGCTTTCTGTATTTTCTGTATTTTTAAAATTCATACTTTCCCCCTTCTAGAAGACCTGTGTGCACACACAACAGAAGACAGCTTGCTGGAGGAGGGGTGGGATCAGAGCAGGCTCTACAGACACAAGGGCACGGGACGGACCCCCCACCATTCGTCCTCTCCCAGCCCGGGTCGCCTCTTACCACCCGGGCAAGGCATGTAGACCGCCAAGGATGAACCTCTGGAAATGCCATTTACACGTGAGGACCAACAGGCACTTGGTCGGGATACACAGCCACCTGTCTCCACACCCAGCCCCAGCACCGCTGGTGGGGAATGTGAGCAAGGATCCTAAAGCTCCCAGGGCCTGCTGATGTGTAAACACAATGCGCCCACTAGGAAATAAGCTGTGGGAATTTACCAGGAAGAGTGGTAATCCACGCCCCAGTCCTAAAGCTCAGCAGCCGAGGACTCCAGTTTCAGCACGAATATACATAGAAGCTACCCTGACACATGAAACTCAATTTAATATTCGCTCAGTACCTGTAAACAGTAACAAGTCTCACACGTAGCAGAGCTAGAGCGGGTAGTCACTTACCGCGTGCGTCTGTGTAAGTGAAATTCAAGCACGTGTGCTCCACCACAGCACTTATTTAGTACTTACTCACACACACAGTGGTGTAAGGTGGTTAAAGATTATTGAATGTTAGCAAATAAAACCGGTATGAGTTTAAATCCATAAAACACACAGCTTGAATTGAACAGCAACTTTTCTATTGTCTAGACACAATCAGAAATGAAAGTATCTGATTCTAATGGCATGTAAAATACCCCAAGGAAATCTTTCCTGTTCTCGTGGCTTTATAATCTAGATTTATTGCTACTTCATTCTAAGCACTACACATCTAGTAATTTTAGAAGCAAGTAGAAATAGTTTTTACTTTTCACATGGAATCCCAGGGTTTAGCGCTCAACATTTGTAGCACAGAAAACATGAAGACTTGGACCCAGGCTACGGCCTCCTGACAGATGTGTTATTCATGACTTGGTTACAGCTAAACAAAGTGGCGACTTCAAAGTGAAGCATTCAAAGGTCAAGAACCCGCTTACAGAAGTAGACAAGTTGAGGGCGAACAAGTCTGCAATTGAAAGATAATAAGGTGATCTAGGGAAATCTTTTCAGATATCTCAGGCAGGTTTTGGACAGAAAACTTTCTTAAGCAGAGGGATCTTTGATCCTTCTGCACTCTGTCCCCTACTCTGACTTTCTCCTAGTGCATCAGATCAAACGTAACACTGCAGCTCCGGCTCCTGGTGCAGGCAGGAGGCGCCCAGAGGTGCTCTTTCCTTAGCGTTAGCGTGCCCGCTAGGTCTGAAGGAGCACTCCCGGGCCACTTCTCATGGTCAGCCACTGGCCTTCTGCCTCCCTACCTACACCTTTTGAACACCAAGCCAACTCCACCATTCTGGCTTAAAACTTCTCTGTCCATGGGTTTGTGGGTGCGGCCCACCTCTCTAGGAAGGGCAGCGCTCCTTGAGCGCCCCTCCTGTTTGTTCCTCACACATCTCCCCAACGGTCCCCCTAAGTGTTCTCCCGTGTGGCCCCATGAAGCAGGACAGGGCAGATGCTCTGGGAGGCTCTCGGATGCACAGTGCTGCTGGTGGAGGGTGAGCAAAGGACCGGCCCCACTTCATGGGCTGGACGGTCCCACGGCTGAGCCTGCAAGCCACCTGGCAGAATGGCCAGAGTGAGGAAGCCAGGGTGCAGGAGGTGAGCAGGACGCCAGGTGTGCTCTGATACGTGGGGCAGACAAAGGTGAGAGAGGTATGAAAACAGTCAGAAGTATTCAAGCAATTGAAGGCAGAGAGGACAAGGGTGCAGAACCACTTGAAGGTGAGAGGAGAGAGACTCAGATGCATTTGAGGAAAAAGGCGTATGAAGTGAGGCTGGGGAGCTCTGGGCCTGGCGTGCAGGGCCACGGCGGTCAGGGAGGACTGGGGGCCCCCCACGCCATCCCCAGGAAGAATTCGCCACTGGGCGTGAGGAGGCGTTTTCTGGCACAGACAGCGGCAGCCCCTTCAGGATCCAGCAAGGCCCCTAGGTGCATTCGTTCTGGACCCTGGGCCTCCCCGGGCCTCCGTCAGGACATGTGTCCCTGACTGCCCTCGGGTTTTGGCCTCGCAGAGTTTGGCTCACAACTATTTGCTCTGAGATTCAATGACTAAGCGCTATCAGACAATCAATGAGACTCATAACTGCATCCCCAGCTTTCAATAATTTCCAGGGAGGTGATGAGAAAACTGAAACACAATTGTAAAGATTTATAATCTTTTTTTAAGAAACTCAAAATCAGCTATCTTGGATGAAGCGGGTAACTGCCAATGGGCTGCGTTGTTTTCATTAAAAACATTCAATTACAGCAATCTGTCACTGGAAATAGTGCGACACATTTGGAACGTTCAAACTACAACCGAGCTGAGAAGTGTTCGCTCGATGACTTGTTGAGATTGCAGAGGATGGCTGGCCAGTTACGGCCGTCCACAGGGCTTCTCTACTCTCAACTTAGTAAACACAATAGGATGTGTCAGGTCGCCTCCCCCGCACCAGCTCTGTCCAGCCATGTGGCTGACACCACTCATTGCCCGAGGGACACAGCAGGGACAGCCCCACCTGCTGCTGTCACCAGGAGTCACCAGGAGGCTCCTGGAGAGGCCTCTGGATACAAATCTGGAGATGGCAGGGAGGGCATGACCCCTTAGGCACCCCTCGATGGGAAGGGTAAGAAGTGGCAGGGGACAGTCAGGGAAACCAGGCTGGGACCAGGCCCCTGCAGACAGAGGCCACGCAGGGAAGCCGAGCGTGAGGCCTGGTGAGCTAAGTGGGAAGCCCGCCCCAGATCACTGATTTTTGAGGTGAGGACAGGGAAACCAGGCTGGGACCAGGCCCCTGCAGACAGAGGCCACGCAGGGAAGCCGAGCGTGAGGCCTGGTGAGCTAAGTGGGAAGCCCGCCCCAGATCACTGATTTTTGAGGTGAGGACAGGGAAACCAGGCTGGGACCAGGCCCCTGCAGACAGAGGCCACGCAGGGAAGCCGAGCATGAGGCCTGGTGAGCTGAGTGGGAAGCCCGCCCCAGCTCACTGATTTTTGAGGTCAGGATAACACGCCTCTTTGGTCACTTGCACACAGGTGTCCCCATCTATACGGGTGTATCTCAGCTTGGGCCATAGCCCATGCCAGGGAAATCCAGGAGAGGCCTCCTCAGTCAGTATTTGCAGGACTTAATGTCATTGATCTTCACTAAACATAAATTCACAAATCATTTGTACAAGTAGCAAATAAAAAAGGTCAAAGACTTATTAGAGCATAATAAATCATAAACTTGTATGTCAGCTAATGACAGCGATGGAACGCTTGGGGGCTAGGTGAAGACCGTTACTGCACACCTTCATGAGTCCACAAATGCAAAGCAACAGACTCTGCCGACTCAAAAAATCTTAAAAATATGTAAAATTCTGTCGACAGAAGAGTGTGACCGTTATCTAGGCCGCGCCTGTTTCGTCCACACAATGCCCTCACGCAGAGAAAACCGTCCACACACAGCGTTCTCACGCGAGGCCACGGTCAGAGAGAGACGCACCAGCTACTGGCGAGACCCCCAGATGGCTGCCAGGCCCGCACCACCGCCCGCTGGCCTCAGCAAGACGTGCTGAACCGGCACACGCACACAGACGTTCGGCACCTGAGTGAGATTTATTTGCTCTGGACAAGAGTCAAAGCCCCGCCAGAGAAGGCCACGTCCCCTGCAGATAAGTAAAACCTTGCAACAGGGTCTCCCTTCTCTTTGCCCGAAGACTCCTGGCCCCACACAGCTGCCCCGCTTACCTGTAGGTCTCTCTCCTCCACCTTGCGCTGGAGCACCTGCAGGCACTTGGTGAAGTCAGTGTGGTCCTGGTCAGGGGTGGCGATCAGCTCGCAGCCCTGTGAGAAGAAGCGAGAGTGCGATGAGGTGGGCCTCTGACAG